CTCCTCCACATCTACATGCCATGACACAGCAAAGCTGGCATGTTTTGATGCTATCATCCAGAACGTCCGGCATGGACGTCCTGGCCGGAGCAGCCCTGATCCTAGACCTTGGTGTAGCACTCACACACCAGTGTCTTGCTGGCTGGTGAGTTTTTTAAGATAGAAGCTTAGCTTCCAGCTGCCTGGGCCACAGAGGATCAGCACCGCCATCTAGACCTAAGACAAAATGATTGGCAAGGCCGGCAGTCCCTGCAGCCAAGGCCGGCGTGACCTTGGGGACGCTGGCCTTCACTCTGAGGCCTTCTCCTCTGTGGGCTCCCCAGAGCAGCAGCTCTGCTCGGGCTTGGCGCCCACCCTGCACTACACCTCGTTCTAGGCCAGGACCGAGGCAGGAGCGCCACGCCCAGGCGCAGACGCGCTGTCAGCCGGGCTCGGAAGGGAGCCCCTGTCCACGCTGGACTTCATTTAATTTCATTTAGTGTTTTTATGTATGTATGTATTTTATTATGCATTTGGTACAGGGTCTCACTACATAGCTCGGACCTGTAGTGATCTTCCTGTTTTAGCCTCCCCAGCGCTGGGATTACGGGCCTGCTGCCCAGACTTGGTGGCTGGCTGGGAGCGGGGCCTGCATTGCACGTGGTGCTGGGGACTGAACACCGGTCCCTACGCTTACCTAAGCAGGCACTTAGTCTGCTGAGCTATCTCGCCAGCCCTGGACTCCCAACTTTAAGAAGGGAATGAAAAGGGAAACCGTGTGAGCAGGATTGGTTTACCGTAAGCAGCCTTTGTAATCTGGATTCCAGGAAAATCATGAGAACGACCCAAAGCAAGAGAGCGATAGCTACACGCAGCTCCCTTGTTTGTTTGGGTCTTTTTTGATTTTCCTGTATTTTTTTGGTTGAACCGGTTTCGGTTTTGGGGCCGAGGACTGACCCCAGGGCTTCCGGTTTGCTAGGCAAGCATTCTCCCGCTGAGCCAAATCCCAGCCCCCTCGCGATGTGCAGTATGTAGACTCGATGAAGCCGGGACCTTACACATTTTGTAACCTGAAACTGCCATTACAACATATTTGTTTAAAAAGAAAATCAAAACTTGCTGAGTTGATAAACTGTCTTTTTGCTGAAATTTAAAGTGTGCTGTGCGCACCCGCGCGCCACCCGTGACATGCAAATCAACGCCGCCCCTGCAGGTGGGCGGTTCCGAATCCCGGAGGGCCGCGGCTCGCAGCGGAGAGGTTGCGCTTGATACTTTCCTCAATTTCCAATTCTTGCAAGCGTGGTGCGGGTGGGGAGCGAGTGTGCTGTGTACGAAGCACCATTTACTTTTGTCTTTCCTACTTCTAGGAGAGTCGAGGCACACATATACGGATTTTTGAGCGGCTGTCTGGAGGTGGTACCTTATTTCTCTTGCTAAACGATCATGTATAACCTTTATCTTATTTTTTCATTTTTTTTCTGGTACCAGGATCAAACTCAGGATCTTGTGCTTGCCAGGCAGGCGCTTATGCTGCTGAGCTATCTCCCCAGCCCTCATATATAACCTTTAAAAACAGCCAATCAAACAAACAAAAAAAAGTGGAAAAAATCCAGATGTTCATTAAATGAATGAATAAATGAAATATAGCAAATTCATAAATCCATCCAAAGGAATATAATTTTGGTCATGAAAAGGAACGAAATACTAACCCGTGCTTCAGCATGGAAGTACTTCTGAAACATCATGCTAAGAGAAAGAAGCCAGATGCAAAAGGCCACACACATACTGGGTGATTCCAGTTGCAAGAAATGTCCAGAATAGGAAAACCCACATAGAAAATACTATAGTGGTGGCCGGGGGCTGGGCAGTAGAGGAGTGGGAAGGACCAGCGCAGGAGCAAGGGGTTCCCCTTGCCAGTGATAAAGAGCTTTGGAACTGGGCGTGGTGGCGTTGCACGATTTTTGTAAACCTGCTAAAAACTACTGCATTATATAGTTCATTTGGGTTTTTTTTTTTTTTTTTTTAAATCACTAGATTGATCTGAGCCTTCACCCTGAGCTACATCCTGGCCCTTCTATGTATTTTTAGTTTTGAGACAGTGTCTCACTAAGTCCACTCAGGCTGGGCTTGCACTTGGAAGCCTCTTGTCTGAGCCTCCCAGATTACTCCACTTGCAGGCAGATGTTATTCTAAGTGAATTTTATGCTCTGTGAATTGTATTTTAACATCAAAAATATGGCCAATTACCCAAACCGCTAACACTATAGTGTTTGTAAAAGCCACTCACTGCGTTTTGACCAGGGTCCATTTCCTCAACTCCAAAATGAGGAAGTAGAATTAGATGTTCTTTTCTTCTTTGACTTTCTTCTTTTTTTCAGTACCAGGGATCGAACTCAGGACCTTGCATTTGCCAGACAGACGCTTATGCCACTGACCTATATCCCTGACCCTCTTCTTTGACTTGAAATGCTGCGGATTCTACTTGGATCTCCCTAAGGTGGGGGGTGTTCAGTATGTGCTTGGCCTGTCGTCTGAAACACAGCGCAGCAGGTAAACATACCTGTGTTCCACTCTCAGGCGAGTGCTGCCTAACATGAGGCATATGTCCATGTCAGGACCCAAGTTTTAGTGTTTTGGTTTTTTTTTTTTAAGGGAAAAACATTACTCTCTAGAAATAAAAAGGAAATCCAAGTCCTCGATAAAAACCAAAGATGCCATCGGGATGACAGGCAGAAGCAACACAAGCAACGGAATTCAGTTGGCCGGCTCCTAGCCCCATGCAATGAATGGCCTTTATCTAAAACAAAAGTTTCCTCTGCCCCAGAGGGGGGACAGTTAGAACAGTCATGATTTCCACTCCACTTTCCATGAGATTTATATTATTTCTGTTGTATTTTTGGGTTTGGCTTTAGGCTGCTCAATCTATTCAGCTGCAACCGCCTCCGTCAAACACCGAGTCCCCCGAGAGCGGGCACTTATTCTCAACAGGCAGATGGCTGTGTACTCCAGTGAGAGCTGCAGAGCCAGGCTGTGGGCCACCGGGACGGGACCAAGCACGACTGCAGAGATGAGGCAGGAGAACGCTTCAGGGAGTTCCAAGCAGAGAATGGGAAGGAGAGAAAAGGGGACACATGGAGAGCCGTCTGGGGCTTCGGCCAGTGGTCAGCAGGCTCTGATTACAATCACCAAATAACATAGGAAATCCCCACAGCCAAGTACAAGCATCACAGCGAATCCAACAGGGCCAGGGATGGGAGGTGGAAGGAGGAGTCCAAGCTCCAGGCCAGCCTGAGCAACAAAGGCTCGGGAGGCCAGCCAGATTGCTCAGTGGATTAAAGTGCCTGCTTAGGCAGAGCGCAGCAACCAGGGTTTGATCCCCGGCCTGCGGTGCCGGCCCCACCCCCGGGGTGCATGAGACTGGGCGTGGTGGTGTGCACCTGTAATCCCAGCGCTTGGGAGGCTGAAAACAGTGAGGCCTTGTAGACCCTGTCCTACATACATTTAAAAAAAAAAGGCTTGGGGCTGGAACTCAGTGTGAAAGTCCTGGGTTCAGCTCCCAGTACCGAAAAAGAAAGAAAGAAAGAAAGAAAGAAAGAAAGAAAGAAAGAAAGAAAGAAAGAAAGAAAAGCAGCTGACAGGACTTTCAGGCCCTGCTCGAATGAGGAGGAGGACTCTTTGACGCTCCTTCATCCAATCCTACCATCTGGTCAGCAAAGAAAACCTTGCAGTCTTCGTCAACCGTTGCCTGGTCATTTCCCAACCAGCTGTTTGAGCACCTCTACTGGCTCTTCCTTTAATGTCTGTCTGTCTGTCTGTCTGTCCATCACCCGTCTGTCTATCCGCCACCAACCATCTATCTGTCATCTGTCTGCCACCTGCCTACTGTGTAGAACCAGAACGCTTTCTATCACCTCTGCCACCACAAGACATGCTTTTCTCTTGCTTGAGTCCCTGTGACAGCCTCGTAACAGGACGCCCAGTTGCTAACTTTCCCTCAACGCAGTCCTTCCTCAGCAGTAAGCAGAGTTATTCTCTGCAGAAGGGAAGCCCAATGGCACCACCTCACTGTGTTCAAAACCTGAAGTTTTTCCATTTCATTCAGAGGAAACGTCAGGAACGAAGACTTAGGACAGGACTGCGCCCGGTTTCCCGGGTCCTCTCTGGCTGCCTAGGCCAGGGCTTCCTCTGCCCGAGCCACACAGGGCTTTCAGATTGGAGTCCTCTGCAGGCTCACCCCTCTGCACCCCGAGTCTGTCCCGAGTCTGTCGGGGAGCTTCCCCGCCTCACCCTCACCCCACACCCTCCGCATTCTTCTTCACAGTACGTACTACCTCCCGAACATCTAGGTATTCATTCCGCTTGTGATTTGTCCCCGTCGGAGAACAACCCCTGGGCGAGGCTTTGCCACTCGGCCCACGGGCACGTCTTAGCACTCATCAGACCCGGCAACCCTTCGGAGAACAGATGCTGGGACTCACCCGCATCCGCCAGGTCGGAGCTCTGGAGACACGTGCGGCAGCGTTCCTTGTGCTCCTCTAGGGAACTTCTCTGCTTGTAGCTCCTCCCGCAAAACTCACATTTGTAGGGCTTCTCCACTGCGGGGGGAGGGGAGGACTGAGTCACCTGGGGTCCTGATCTCCTCGCCAGTGGCGGGCTGTGGCTCTGAAAACTGTCTGTTAGGGGCTGCGGAGATGGCTCAGTGGAATAAGCGCTTCCCTGGCAAGCGCAAGGGCCTGAGTTCAATCCCCGGTTCCACCAAAAAAGAAAGAAAGAAAGAAAAAAAAAAATGTCTGCTGCCAGAAGGCAGAGTCCTTGGATACTTTAGAATCTATGTTACTTTTGCATTTAAGGATTGAAATAAGGCAGCAGCCTGCTGCTGGTGGTTACTGAGTTTCTGTGTCCTTTGCAAGGATCATTTCCTGGGTAGCCAGAAGCACTTGGGGGTGCTGAGCAGCATTCCGCACAGTGTTCAGCTCCAGGTCGAATCTTGCCTTTTTGAGCCAGGGTTTTGCTATATTGTTCAGCCCAGCTTTGAACTCACTATGTAGCCCAGGCTGGCTTCCAACTCACAGGGATCCTCCTGCTTCAGCCTCCTGAGTGTAGGGATTACAGGCATGTGCCACCACGTCCAGCTCCAGGTTGAGCCCTCATGTTTACATTTAACAGTAAGAGACCCTTTTTGTTCTTTAAGGAGGTCAGAGTAGTGTAGGAATGAAATGGGAGGGGATTCCTTGCCGCGTGCCACCTGCCCGGCTGTCCGGCTAGGGGTGCGGTAGAACGTGGACGTGTTTGGATGAATCTGTCTCATTCTGGTCAAGTGGTTATAACAAACTCTAGGCTAATGCACTCAAGGTTGAGCTGATTAAGGATGTTTGTGAACACCAGAATGAATGAAGACTGAACTGCAAAAATGCCTTCCCTTCCGACCAAGTGTAAATCTCCTCAAAAGCTCACCCATATGATCCGGGCAGCTGTAGTAACTGCAGCCTTCCAACTTACCCAAGTACTTCCTTCCTTGAAATATGTAAGTGATAACTCTGATGGTTTATGCAAGACTGGCTTGTCTTAACATGTTGGTAAAATACACCCTAAGAATTAGAGTTTTAGGGACTTAGATTTTTCTTTTCTTTTCTTTCTTTCTAGCAGCTGTGGGATTAACCCAGGCCCTGCACGTGGTAGGTGAGTAAATGTTCTAGCACTGAGCTACTATGTATTCCAGCCCCCAAATAGTTATCTTTAAAACCTCTCACTCTATCTAAAATAGGGATGTTGGGATTTAAAGTACTAAAAGATTCTTACAAAACTCCAAATTAAAACAAAATGCAGACTTCTAGGGCTAAAAATGTCAAGTTTCTACACAAATTGGGGGCTTCTGGAATCTGTCTTAAAAATTGCTACTATTGTTGTTTCTTACCTGAAGAACATAATAGAAGATAACTGTCCTCATCTATTTCTTTTGAGCAAACAGATCCTCAATTTACACTTTGAAAAATGAGACAGAAAAGAAAAAAAAAAAACCACCATGTAAAGTCTCCTGTGGTGGCTTTTGTTGGGGTTGATATATTTAATCCTAATCTCTGAATTTTGACCTGTTTCAAGATTGGGGTTTGGTTTTAGTCAAAGTAGTAGATGTGGATTAACATAAAAAAACACCTTTTATTTTCAACTCAAATTCTATCAGATAACATCAAGAACCTAAGGTCCCAAATCTGAAAATAAACCCAGTCTTATTTTTCTAAGGAGGAAATTCTAAATGTCGAAAAAAAAAAATTGCAGTATCTTGGTTGGTCAAAATGAGGAGAAGAAAACATCAAGAAGGCACACAGCTCTTGGTGAGTTCTTATTTTTGTGCATCTTTGAGAAATTGACAGTCAGGAGGCCGGTAAGTACAAGGAAAGCTGAGTTCAAGAAATTTAGCCCAGAATGGCTAAAAAGGACCCCCAAACAATGATTTGTACCTGGTTTGCAGTTTTTGTAATTTATAAAGCTAGATATCCTTTTTTCTTTAATGCATTTGGTAAGGGGGTGCCTGATAGCTCAGCAGACTAAAGTGGCTGCTTCAGCAGGGCGCACTGGCCGGGGTTCGATCCCTGGCGTGCTGTGCTTGCCCCGCCTCCGGGGCGTGCAGAGACAGGAATTGAGATTGGGCGTGGTGGTGCGCAGCACCTATAATCCCAGCCTTTGGGAAGCTGAAAACAGAGGAATCACTACAAGTCCAAATCTGTGTAGTAAGACCCGGTAGACACTGTCCTAAATACAGAAAGAAAAAAAAAAAAAAGTATTTGGTACAGGTTCTCAGTACCCAGCTCAGACTCGTAGTGATCCTCCTGTTTTCAGCCTCCCCAGTGCTGGGATTATAGGCGAGCACCACCATGCCCAGTCTTGGTGGCTGGCTCAGTGTGCCCAAAGGTGAGGCCAGCATGGAGTGTGGAGCAGGGGCTCGAACCCTGGTCCCTGGGCTTGCCTAAGTACACACTTGGTCCACCGAGCTATCTCGCTGGCCCAAACTATATATCATTTTCTTGTCCTGGGTTGTGTGTGTAGAAAGTGTGTGTGTGTGTGTGTGTGTGTGTGTGTGTGTGTGTGTGTTAGGACAACAATCTTTAAAGTTTACCACAAGAAACATATCAGTGGTTATAATTTTCCTGCAAAAACTACTACAGGGCTGGGGAGATAGATCAGTAGCTCAGTGGACTAAGTGCTTGCCAGGCAAGTGCGAGGTCCTAAATTTGATCCCTGGTACCACAAGTCAAAAAACAAACAAACAAAAAAAAAAACAAAACAAACAAACAAAAAAAACCAAACAAACCCAAAACCAAAAACTACTACAGAGGTATCTTCTTGGCTGCCATCCTCCAGGGGTGGGAGGTGGGAGGAGAAATCTCTACCCAGGCAGAGAGAGAGCGAGCAATTAATGCCTTGATGGAGTGCAGTTAGCCCTGGAGGTCTCTGCTGCTGCCGCCCTCAGCACCGCAGTGATGGAGCTGAGCCTTGTGCTTAACTCTTTGCAGTTTCCCGTCACCAGCAAAGGCCGCTTGTCCCCCTCACTTACCAGAATGTGTCCTGAGGTGCCCTGTGAGTGCATCTCTCCTTTGGCACGCGTAGCTGCAGAGGTGACACTTGAAAGGTTTTTCCCCTGTGTGCAGCTTAATGTGGCGGAGGAGATTACCTTTCTGAGTAAAAGATGCCCCGCACTGATTACACTGGAATGGGCGTTCACCTTGAGAGAGGACAAGAGAGGCGATTTCTGGTCACAGGCAATGGAAAGGCACAGGTCAGATGCCTGCGGCAGAGCTTGTCTCCCGGGCTCTGCTCACCTCACCTCTTGGGGGCTGCATTTCCAGACAGGCAGGGCGAGACTCCTTGTGGAACCTGCCCTGCCAAAGACAGAATGCTCCCACCTAGCAAGGCCACACTCGTCTTGAATCAGATCAAAGAAATACAAGAACCTCTGAGATAGCTTGTCTTTCTTTCTTTCTTTCTTTCTTTTTTTTTACAAATGGAGGTTAGGAGCATAATATATTTATTGAGAGAAAGAAAGCTCCTGTCCAAGAGAGGGACAGGAGGGGGGCCTGAGCGGGTAGTTCCCCTCTTTTTGTTTTTTAAGACAGGGTCTCACTGTGCAGTTCAGGCTGGCCTTAAGCTCAGTTTGTAACCCAAGCTAGTCTTGTTTCCTTGTTTCCTTCCTTCCTTCCTTCCTTCCTTCCTTCCTTCCTTCCTTCCTTCCTTCCTT